TGCAGGAGACCCCTTTGGGCTTACTATGAATTCGATCTACATTGTACCAATGTTGATTCCATGTACTAAATGAAGCTTTTGTAAGTTTAATCAAAAGTACTCTTGCTTTAATGAATTCCTTACAACAAAATATAAACAAATCATGAGATTGTTTTAAAAAAACAATACAACGTAATTATCTTCATCAATATGCTCAGTTTTGACAGTTCTAAACAAACTCAGTAATCAGATGAAATAGAAATGATTGGGAGACTATTGTGATTAAATATTTAAACTTATTTCATCAAGATGTTGATATTAAACCAGAAACATTAATAACTAATAAAGTAGTTATTTATAGTTTCAAGATCTTTTACTTCAATGAAGATTAATTTTGATGATATTTGGCCAAATGCATTCTAGTGGATTATTTATTCAAAATAATGATTCTATCTTATTTTTTTTAACGATAATTATTTCAGGATCAAACACAAATTTGTCATCTTGAAGGACCCAAGGATCGATTACAGACTTTCAATGTGATAACTTCCAAAAATTCCTAAATTCCTGAGTGAAAGGTTTCTAGAATTAAGAAACACTGAATGTTAGGCAGTGCAGAAAACTTACAGATCATGCAAGATGTTCATTGTAACACAAATTACAAACTATAGGTCATTGGTCCCACCAACACTTTTCCAAATAAGACTTAGTAATTTTTTAAACAGCTGGGCAAGATTACCAGTTTTTTTAATGTCTATAATGAATAGTAAGAATTTCTACCTTAACATTTTCAATAAAAACAAATTAGTTTTTATTTTCTTCCTGCAATACCCTTTTTTCCTTAGTTAAATACACCTCCATTATAAAATCACATTAGTGCCCTTTTCTTCCATATTCATTACAATGCCAATGTAACCAACCATCCTATCCCTCTTAATATTTAGTCAAGTGCTTGCTTGGGATAACAATGACTTTCACAGGTGAACAAATCAAAACTAAGATACTAATACAGTTTTAGCATCCTACTACTGTCCAGTGTAAAATAAACTTGAAAAACATTTCCTGCCAATTTTGCATTTCTAATAATTTAAAATTTTAATTGTTATAATTGTTTGTTTTATGTACTCTCACAATTGTTTAAAAAAATTATTTATCTGAACACAGAAGTTCGATCTCTTGCTTTTTTTGGTATGTGTGTGTGTGTGTGTAAATATTCTCAATACTTTAGTTAAAATTTCAATAATAAATGACAGTTCAAAACACTAAGCTCTTGTAAAATGCAAGAAAACTGTTGGAATTTTCTGCTTTTCCTAATGGCCATTCACAAAAAAAAAGATTTGGATTCAACCGTGCCCAATTTTCCTGAAACAAATTTCCTTGACATTTCCTGTTTTTACAGAATATTATTTTTATTTTTCCCTAACAAAATTTGTACAGTATTTTGAGAAAATATTAAATAAAATGTAAACTTGGGTCCATATTAAAATCAATGTGCTTCTTTCTCTACGGCATCTCCCAATTTTCTTACACTAACAGGCAGATAGGAGTGGGAGAGAGAAGAGGGACGGAAAAAAGAGAGACGAGTAATAAGAGGAGAGAGAAATGATGCTTTGTCCTGAACAATTTCCCTTTGATGCTCTCTCTCCAACTGTCTCCCTTCGATCAATTTTCTTACTACAGTCCCCATAAATGGCACTTTCCCTTCCACCATTCATCTTCAAAATTATTACATGAATGCACAAAAACAAAACGGCTCTCTGTACTTCTGGCAGTTGTGTTTTTTCTGCAGAGGTCACAAGAGATCTATTTCCTATGATGTGCCATAAGACAACCCAAGGTAAAGGATGGCACCCCACAACAGCAGCAGCAATGGCAACAGGGTAGAGATAATAAACTGGCAATCACATTTGCTTGACTTCTTTAATCCCCCTCCCCTCTATGAAAGTTCTTGCTGCCTCCTTCTCTCTACTTCGTACATAATTAATAAATAATGTAGTACTTGTGTTAATATCACTTGACATGGTCCCTCCCTCCCAGATAAAGTAAAGGTGAAATTGCCCAGTACTCCTCTCAAACTCATCACATTTCAAAAACTTTAGTTCCTTTCATTATCTATTTGTGAGCTCTCCAAGTTCTCCATGCGAAAGATAAATTTAATTTTATCTGGCCAATGTATGAAAATTATGCCAAAGATAAAACATTACCGTAAATGTTATGTGAAGAATAATATCTATATTAAACAAAAATTCCATTCTTTTAACATTCTGTAATTTCTCCTTGATTCTATTTTCTCCTCTCTCCTTTTAACCTCCTATTTTTTTTTTTTTAATTAAATTCTCAGACTTTTCTGTTTTCCAGAAAGTGACCACCCTATCTAAAATGATTACATGACAAGAAAATTACAGTGCCATGTATTTACTAGGCCCAATTTTAAACTAAAGAATGTCCACAAACTTGAGTCAGAATATGACTTCTAGTATGTCAAGAATTCATCAAATTTATTCTGAGACTACCTTATTACACAACTATACAATGATACAATTGTTATTCGTCCAGTTACATACAATTGTTTTATTCCAGCAGTAAAACCAACATTTTTCTTTCTTTTTTCCCATTAATATTTTTTTTCTAAGTTTTTGATTTTGTTATTTCATTGTCCAGTGTCCAGTTGAAGCCAAATGAATATCAAGTCAGTGAATATTGAAAAAGTTCTTTATAACTGTAAACGATCAATTACAATTTCAAGATTTTTGTTTTGAAACCATATTAAACCCATCAATTCAAAAATAAATGTTTATTAACTCTAAAAAATTGTACTTAACAATTTTAAATACATTTTGGATTCATTCAGCTTAGATAAAAGAAAATGCATATACCAATATACAATAAGCAAACACACCCACATAATTGCAAGAATTATAACTTACAAAATCAACGAGAGAACTTTAAAAGTATATTAGAAAGAGAAAAGCATGGTGGTATCTTTCTTCAGTAACCTACAAATGTCGCTCTTTCAGTTAGTTTTGCAGATTTGAACTCAGTACTAGAGATCACGAAGTATTTAAGAAAATACTTTCCACTGATGAACAGTAAACATAATACAATATAAAATTTCATTTTTACATTTTACTATATACATAATTTATAGTAGCATCAGAATACAGTCTTCTCAGTTTGGGAAAATAATCACAGAGCAGGATAAAAAATTCCTTTTAAATAACATTAATAATACCTTGTTAATACAAATTATTGCAAAGCAATAAAACATGTTCACCTATTCCATTAGTTTGTAATTTGAAACTTATTTTCTTAATTTCACATTCAACATTTTTTGAATTCAAATAACATTAAAATTCACATTACCCTATTTCCATTTTTTTAACCAGTACCTAACCAACCACTGACAACAATCATTGTTGATTACATAAAAAAACATTTTTGTCTTTCTTTATTTGCTCATCTCTTATCCAATGGGCTCAGTTTCCCTAAAAAGCCAGTCATAGGCATCCAAGTGACGTTGTTTCTTCAGAAGAGGTCCAACTTTTTCACGGCACAAACTATGGTACTCATTCAAATAAGAAATCTGCAACAACATAAAAATGTGTTCAAAGAAACTGTGTACATAATTATTCTTTCTTTAAGTCAATATAACATTCAACTGATCAAATTAGGCCATTACAGGTTATTGTAAACGTTGCAACACAAAAGTTTCACAGTGTTCCTAATATGATAACATTTTTTTCTTCAAAAATAAGGTCACTAGTATGGAAGTTAAAACTTTAATGTCACAAAGTGATAAAGACTACATCAAATGTTAACCCTAGCAATACAAGAGTATAAATAGTATTGCCTCTTCCTAAGGAGGGGCTGAATGAGAAATAGAAGGATGCTTGAAAAAAAGAGTGTAATCTAAAAGATTGAGATTAAAAGTGGATTCCTCACAGGGATTTGTGTGTGTGTGTGGTATATATAAATATATATATATATATATGTATAAATATTAGATGTACAAAGTATATCAAATAAACAACAAGAAGTAAAGGAAATGATGAGAAGAAACATAGATATAGCCGTCTGGTCTGAAACAAAAAAGAAAGGCAAGGGAAGCAGAAAAAGGGGAAGTGAATCCATCGTTTGGCATCTTTCGTCTGTCATTCGCATAACCATGCGCCGTACCAGACGATTTGTTTTTTTTTCTCTATTTCGTCAAGGATAGATTTTCTTGACATCCATTTTATTTTTTTATCATCGTTCCTGATTCTGTCACGTCTGCTTATAACAGCAGTTTCTACGCCAGTAGTTCCATTTCAAGGCAGCAAGCTTCCCCTTTGTTCTTTTATACGATCTCCCAGACTTCTGAACCCGTAATGTTGTAACACTCTTAACTCGCGAGGAAGTAAAGACGTCTTTAGTAGTGTTAGTGATGGTTTTTGTTCCTAAGACAGAGTTTATACTTTCGTGTCAGTTTCTCCCCAAGCTTATTCGTCTCTCAATTTCGTCATGGCTATTTCCTTATTGTTAAAAAGTATCACCAAGGTTTTATATTTGTTTACCCCTTTCATTTTTTCTCCATTCCACAAGAAGATTTCTATTTCATTTTTACCAACTGCCAGGTATTCAGATTTGTCATATTAGTATTTTAGGTCCTGCTTTAAAAAGTGTCATTGAGTTTACGGATCATGAACACTCAAATCATCAGCATCTTCTGCATTTACTATCTGGTCATCGGCAAAATATAACGTAAACAATTATCCTCTCCGGATCTTATTCCCATTACTCTGATTGTTTCTCCCACTGCTGCAAATATTGATGCAGATATATTTTAACAGTGTTGGAGAAAGACAGCAACCCTGTCGCAGACCTTTGCTGACTGGGAATGGTATTCCGAGAGCGCTGTAGATCTTAATCTGAGAGTGGGTTATTCTTTTATATATTCTGTGTGGCTCCAATTAAGTTTTTCACTGATTTGAAGTCATCATTTCTTCCATTTACTCTGCAACGGTACATTTTGTCTATACGTTCCCTTCTTGAAGATCAATGACCAGATAAACTTCCCTACGTCCTCCTGTTTCTCTCTTTCTATAAGTTATATTTATAGTATAATTATTTTTTGTTCTATGTACCGACTGCCGGCAGCAAAACCATTGTTCCTCTCCTCATTTTTCCTTTATTCTCTTCTTCTATTTTATTTGTATTATTTGCTATACAGTCTAATCTAATAGATCCAATAACTGCTATTTTCTCTGTTTGTTGTTTATTGCTTTAGATTTCTTATTATGGATTTGTTGTTGTAAGACGTTCGCTCACTCACTGAGGAGGATTTCTCCATTCATCGCACCTTGAAACATGTTTGGCATTTTAGGGGCAGTTATAGGACTAATTCAGTAATTCTGCCGTATATTTTTTTTTTTTTTTTTTTTTTTTTTTTCTCGAACAGTGTTTATGATTTCTTGTCTTTGTTTTTATTTAATTGTCAGATCTACCTTGCTCAAATTTTACTTCCTGGTGTTTTTGGAGTTTCTGTTTTCTAGAAGCAGTCTTTCGAAATACTCTTTCCTATTTTATTGATTCCAATTTTTTGTTTAATTATTTTTTTCATATTTTTTTCTCATTCGATTTAATAGATTAATTACTTTCCAGGCTTCTGAGCTCCGTGCTCCACCTATGAATTGTACATAATAATCGCAATTACAGCAGCATAATTTATTCTTCCTTGATAATACTTCTTGTTTTACTTCTCTACTTATTGCTTTGGACCTGTAAATTAGTTTCGGTTCTTTTGTCACTAAGCCATTTTAAATAGAGTTCTCTTATCCTCTTAATCTTTTCTTCTAGACTTGTCCCACCATATACTGTTTTTGGTTTTAATTTACAGTAAACTAAAGCCTCCTCTGCGGTTGGTGATACCTCTTTTTATGTGTTCAATATTCTTTTTCTATTGGCCTGTGTTTAACCAATAGTTACGTTTCAAGCCTTTCTGTAGAGATATGCTGTACTTTCATCGAAGAGACTGCTTAATTTGTATTTGGTAAGGTTTATGACAACTCCTCCTTATTTCTATATCTGTGCTATTTCAATTGTAATGGTATTTTGAATATTTTGCATTTTTATAAACAGTAGGTCGTAACAATTGGCTCCCCGATTCACTCTAACATCCTTGGACTTTGAAGTGAAGTTTTTTGCCTTAGTTACAAAGAGTTATTAAGTAGATTTTAGTTTTTTTGTATGCTGTGGTACCAGTATAGCTTATGTGAATTCTTATGTATGGATTGGTAAGTTACAGTTTGTTATTAATTTTCATTTCATACTTTCACATATTATTTAATCTTTTGTCCATTGTCATTGTCCATTTTGGGCTATAGTTCTTTCTTTATCTATGTTGATTCATCATATTTGTTTTTTTTGTTTCTCTTTCTTCATATCTTTTGCGTTTTAATTTTATTTTTCCTTGGCTTATTTTTTTTTATTTCATGGGACTTTTTTTGAATTCCGTTTTTTTCTTGACTATTTTCTATATATTTTTTTCTTTCTTATTTCTTCTATTTGTGTGGGCATTTATTTCATATCTCATATTATATTTATTTTTCTTCACTTTGTATTTTGCCTTTTTGATTTTATATCATCTAATTTTTTTTTATTTTTTTATTTGTTTCGTTTTTTTTTATATATTTCCAACTTCTTTATGACATTTACTTGAGTCTTTTCCTATTACAATAGTAATTCCGGCTTTGGCAATTTCATGTTTGTTTTACGCCATGTAAACGTGACAAAGTGTTCAGATGTCTCGCTTCA